TCCCGGTCTGGCCCCGTGGTGCCCTCCCGGTCTGGCCCCGTGGTGCCCTCCCGGCCTGGCCCCGTGGTGCCCTCCTGGTCTGGCCCGTGGCAGTCTCTCGGCCTGTCCCATGATGTCCTCCCGGCCTGGCCCGTGGTGCCCTCCCGGTCTGGCCCGTGGCGCCCTCCCGGCCATGGCCCCGTGGCGCGCTCCCGGCCATGGCCCCGTGGTGCCCTCCCGGCCTGGCCAGTGGTGTCCTCCCGGCCTGTCCCATGGCAGTCTCTCGGCCTGTCCCACTGTGTCCTCCCGGCCTGGCATGGCAGTGTCTCAGTGTGCAAGTGGGTCCTGCCCAGAGGTGTTCAGAAGGCACCAGGGGGAGATTGGTGAGGTGGCAGCTTCAGCAGCAGTGATAGCATAGTGGCCCAACTGGGGATGATTGAGTGTGATGAAGTTGGTATCAGCAGCAGTGGCATTGAGAACTGGTCTCCCAGATAGTGAGAAAATCAGAGGACTCATCAAAGACTGCAGAACTTTTAACTTTATTCCTTTATTTTTCTAGCTTATATTAAGAAGGGCTTTAATGTTTACTGTAGCTTTATTTCTTTATTTGTCGACTTATTCTTTGAAAGTAATGCTTAACTTTTTAACTTTGTTTCTTCACTATTTTGTACCTCATTTTCGGTACTTGGGTATGTTTGTATTGGCGCTGTTTGTGGTGACGTTATACACTTTTCATTATATTCCTTTACTGCTGTACTTGAGTACATGTGACAATAAAATCTAAATCTAAATCTAATCACACACAACCCATTGTCAGTCACTAATGGTCCCCATTTGCATCTATTCATTCTCTCAGGCTGACCTTTACCCAATCCTTTGTGTGCCCAACTGTTTTTCTCTCTCTCTCTGGGGTCCATCTCTATGTACTATTTACTCCCCACCCCATCTTCAGCATAAATACCGTTCTTTTCCATCACTTCTAAAAAAGCGTCACTGGACCCAAAACCTTAACTTTTCTTTCTGTCCACTGACCTGTTGAGTTTTTCCAGCAATTTCTGTGTTTGCTACAGATTCATGAGGAATTGGAGCACTGGTTAAAGGGAAGCCATGATGTGGAGGAGCCGGTGTTGGACTGGGGTGGACAAGGTCAAAATCCCATGGCACCAGGTAATAGTCCAAGAGATTTATTTGAAAACACAAGCTTTTGGAGTCTCGCTCCTTCTCCAGGTGTCAGTGGGAGAGGCGGCATCAGATGCAGAATTTATAAGCGAAAGATTAAAGGGTCATAGAACTAATGCAAATGTATTGAACAAACCTAAGATGGTTGTTAAATCTTCAATCAGTTAGCAAGGATTAATATACAAATCCCAGGATTTCTTTCAAGTCACTGCCCTGAGATAACTAAAGGTTTGATCAGTATACCAGAGGTGACATCTTAAGTCAGACAATGCATTTTAGGTGTGAGGCCTTGTTTATAATCTGGCTGTGTATTAACTTGGAATCAGGTTAGTTTTATTTCCAAAGTAAGAATTTATAAAATGCAGCATTGACTGTCTACAAATTGTGTGATTTTGAACAAAATAGAATGTATCCGCAATTACAAATCTACCAGTGCAAATTCACCCTATGTGTGTAATTCCAGGTAGTTAAGAGTGTACAAATAGTGTGAATAGAGTTGACGGAGCTGAATAACAACTGAAAGGATGACTGAAATGTATTATCTTGCCATTCTTTCTCTGCTGATATGTTGTACCTGTGAGCCTATACCTACTTCACCTGACCGAGGAGCGGCGGTCGAAGCTTGTGATTTTACATGAACCTGTTGGACTATAACGTGGTAACAAGGGTGCAGAGCTGGATGAACACAGCAGGCCAAGCAGCATCAGAGGAGCAGGAAAGCTGACGTTTCGGGCCGAGACCCTTCTTCAGGACTATAACGTGGTATTGTGTGACTTCTGACTTAGTTAAAGGAGAAATAATTAACAGAAACAAGGCAGTGGGATAAGTCAGATCACTCTGTGAAAAAGCGGACACAAACAAAGAGGCTGGATGTGGTTCCGATTCTGCTTCATTTGTGTTGGTTTGCGAAACTTGCTGGACTCCGTGAGATTGATCCCAAATTTATTAGGCGGGCAAGAAATCCCCCTAAAGATACAGCAGATACTAGAAATCGGAAATAAAAACACAGTACAGGAGAAACTCAGCAGATCTGGCAGCACCTGTGGAGAGAGAAGCAGAGTTAATGTTTTTGAGTTAATATTTTCAGAATGGAATATTGTCTGGATTTGTTTGTAATGTGTTTGTTCTGGGCCTGGCTGGGTTGATTGTCAGTCAAGGACTGTGTCATACTGTGATCCTGAGCTAACTGTACCATGTCAGTGACTGCCAAATCCCAAAGATGTTGATTGGCTGAGATGAAGGGGAATGGGAGGGTCTCGTGTGGAACATGGAGCAGCAGAGCGCAGACGGGCCGAGTGGCCACGCTGTGTAAATGCAGAGGGTCTGTATTTTACCAATGCGGACTCAGTATAAATGCAGCCATTGCATTGGGGAGCAGGGTCCGTGAGGCTGTGGGAGGGAGTGCTCGGTTTCTGGAAACATTTCACTCTGGGCAGGTTACTGTCCTGCGTCCTGCACCCTGCACCCTGCACCCTGCCCCCAGCAGGAATCGCCCGCCTCCAGGCGGCTGGCAGTCAGGGTGAAGGCTTGTTCTCAGTTTGAGGAAGTTTCAGATGCTGCGAAACGTGCCATTCCCGGCAGCAATGCCCGCTATCCTCGCCCTGCTGCTCGCCCTCCTGCTGAGTGCCCTCCTGCTCCGCTCCTGGTGCCCGTACCTGGTGCACGATGTGAGAAACGTCTACCGAGCGGTCATCCTGGCGATACGGATTTGGAACTACAAGAGGAAGCAGCCCCCGATCACTTTGCTGGATGTGTTCCTACAGAAAGTGAGACAATTCCCAGACAAAACGTTTGTGTTGTTTGAGGGCCGGGCTCTCAGTTACTCGGAGCTGGACAGACAGAGTAACAAAGTGGCGAGAGTTCTGCAGGGCCGGGCCGGGCTCCGGCAGGGTCAGTGTGTGGCGATCCTCTTCAGCAACCAGCCCCTGTTTGTCTCCGTTTGGTTGGCTCTCGCTAAACTCGGCTGCCCCGTGGCTTTCCTCAACTTCAACATCAGGGGCAAATCCCTGCTTCATTGTTTCAAGTGCTGTGCCTCCCAAGTGCTCATCGTCGGTGGAGGTGAGGAACTTTCAAATTCTTAAAGCAACTCCCAGGTCAGAGCAAACCACTGGCGACTCTGGGTCTCTGTTTCACACCTAGAGAATGCAATCATTTATCTGTGGGTTCACTCTTGCTGCAGTTATACAGGGCCTTGGTGAGGTCACTCCTTGAGTATTGTGCGCAGTTTTGGTCTCCTAGTCTTGCTATTAGGGAGTCCAACAAAGGTTCACCAGACTGATTCCCAGGATGGCAGGACTGACATATGAGGAAAGACTGGATCGACTGGGCTTGTACTCCCTGGACTTTAGAAGAATGAGGGGCATCTCATAGAGTCTTATAAAATCCTGATGGGACTGAACAGGCTCAATGCGGGAAGAATGTTCCCAATGTTGGGGAAGGCCACAACTAGGGGGTCACAGTCTAAGAATAAGGGGTAAGCCATTCAGGAGTGAGATGAAGATGAATTTCTTCACTCAGAGATAATAACAACTGCAGATGCTGGAAGCGAGAGTCTATAGGTGTGAGGCTGGAAAAGCACAACAAGTCAGGCAGTATTCCAGAAACAGAAAAGTCAGCCTTTTCCGGTTGAAATCCTTAGTCAGGACTGGGGAGGGGGAGGGGAGAGGTGAGGAGTCCAGAAATACATTGATGGAGGGGAGGTGGGGTGGGGTGGGGTGGGGGTGGGGTGGGGGTGGGGGGTTGTGTGTGGTAAGGGTAGGAGAGATGGTGATAGGTGGATTCAGGTAGGGGTTATTGTGATTGGTTCGTGGGAAGGGTGGAGTAAATAGCTGAGTAGGAAGATGGACAGGTTAGGTCAGGTCAGGAAGGGGGTGGCTGCACATGGGATAAGGCTGGGGGTGGAGAGATTTTGAAGCTGGTGAAGTCAATATTCAGGCCATTGGGCTGTAAGCTCCAAAGGCGAAATATGAGGTGCTGTTCCTCCAGATTACATTTGGCCTCACTCTGACAGTGGAGGAGGCCAAGGATGGTCATGTCACCAGGGGAGTGGGAGGGGCTGTTAAAGTGGATGGTAACTGGAAAGTCGGGTTGGTTGGTGCGTGCAGAGTGCAGATGCTCGACAAACTGGTCTCCAAGTCTGCATTTGGTCTCCCTGATATAGAGGAGACCACATCAGGAGCAACGCGTACAGTAGATGGGCTAGGTGAAGTGCAGGTGAATCTTTGCCAGATTTGGAAGGATTGTTTGGGTCCTCGTATGGAGGTAGAGGAGAAGTGTAGGGGCAGGTGTAGCACCTCCTGCAATTGCAGGGAAAGGTACTGGGTGTGATGAGGGGTTGGTGGGGAGTATGGAGCTGACAAGGGAGTCACGGAGTGAATGGTCCCTGTGGAAAGCGGACAGGGGTGGGGTAGGAAATACCTTTTTGGTGGTGGGGTCTGATTGTAAGTGGCAGTAGTGTTGGAGGATGATGCATTGGATTCAGAGGTTGGTAGGGTGGTACGTGAAGACTAAAGATACTCTATCCTTATTGTTGTTGGGGTGAGGGTGTTTGAGGGCAGACGTGGGAAATGGAAGAGATACAGTTGAGGGTGTCCTTAATTACAGAGGAGGGGAAATTTCAGTGTCAAAAGTAGGAGGATATCTGGGATGTCCTGGAGTGGAATGCTTCATCCTGGGAGCAGATGCAGTTGAGGCAGAGAAGTTGGGAGTTTGGGATAGCATTTTTACAGGAGGATGTGTGAGAGAAGGCGTAGTTGAGATAGTTGTGGGAGTCAGTAGGTTTGAAATGGATGTCGGTGGTGAGTCGGTTTCCAGAGATGGAGGCGGAGGGGTCCAGGAAGGGGAGGGAGGTGTCAGAAATGGTCCAGGTGAATTTGAGGGTGGGGTGGAGTGTGTTGGCGAAGTTGATAAACTGCTCAAGCTCCTCGTGGGAGCACGAGGCCGCACCAATGCAGTCATCAATATAGTGGAGGAAGAGGTGAGGGATGGTGCTGGTGTAGTTGCCAAAGAGAGACTGTTCCACAAATCCTACAATGAGGCAGGCATAGCTGGTGCCCATGGCCATCCCTTTGGTTTGCTTGGAAGTGAGAGGAATCGATGGAGAAATTGTTGAGAGTGAGGACCAGTTCCGCCAAGAAAATGAGAGCGTCAGTGGAGGGGGACCAGTTGGGCCGACAGGAGAGGAGGCAGTGGAAGGCATTTAAGCAGAAGAGTTGTGAACCTGTAGAATTCTTGACCACAGAAAGCTGTTGGGGCCAATTCGTTAGATATATTCAGGAGGGAGCGGGAGTTGGTCCTTGCAGCTAAGGGGATCAAGGGGTATGGAGAGAAAGCGGGAATGGTGGGATAGATTGCATGATCAGCCATGATCATATTGAATGGTGCAGCAGGCTCGAAGGGCCGAATGGCCTACTCCTGCACCTACTTTCTGTGTTTCTGTGTTGGGATATTGCCAGGAATGAAAGCTGTCCAGGTAACAGCAGGACAGTCAGTTCCTGCCTGCTCCCACCAGCACAGCCTCCATCTTCCTCACCACTCCTTACAGAATGAACTGATGACCACATCATCACAAGAGAAACATGGCCCTGTCAGACCCAAGAAAGGCTACATTCTGGCTCACTCCCCCTCTCCCTGACACACACATTGCTGACCCTAAAACACGATGGGCAAACTTTCCTGTACTTTATCTTCTAATTTTTAAAATTTGGTTATGGGATGTCGGCATTGCTGGCTGGGCAACATATATTGTCCACCCCTAGTTGCCCTTGAGAAGGTGGTGGGGAGCTGCCTTCTTGAACCGCTGCAGTCCTCCTGCTGTGGGTTGATCCATAATGCCCTTTGTTTCCAAGTCAGAATGCTGAGTGGCTTGGAGGGGAACTTGAATGCGGTGGTGTTCCCATGTATCTGCTGCCCTTGTCCTTCTAGATGGAAGTGGTCATGGGTTTGGCAGGTGCTGTCTAAGGATCCCTGGTGAATTTCTGCAGTGCATCTTGTAGATACTACACACTGCTGTTACTGAGCATCAGTGGTGGAGGGAGTGGATGTTTGTGGATGCAGTGTCAATCAAGCGGGCTGCTTTGTTCTGGATGGTGTCAAGCTTCTTGAGTGTTATTGGGGCTGCACTCATCCAGGCAAGTGGTGAGTATTCCATCACACACCTGACTTGTGCCTTGTAGATATGGACAGGATTTGGGAAGTTACTCGTCACAGTATTCCTAGTTGCTGACCTGTTCTTGTAGTCACTGTGTTTATATGGCAAACTCAATTGACTTCTGGTCGATAGTAACCCCAAGGATGTTATAATGGGGGATTCAGTGATGGTAACACCATTGACTGCCAAGGGATGGGGGGGAGACTGTCTGTTATTAGTGATGGTTGTTGCTTGATATGTGTGTGGCATGAATGTTATTTACCATTTGTCAGACCAAGCCTCGATATTGTGCAGGTCCTGATTGCTTCAATATCTGTGGAGTTGCGAATGATGCTGAACATTGTGCAATCATCAGTGAACATCCTATTTCTGACCTTTTATAAGTGGCTTGTCAACATTGCTCTGAATTTGTTACAGAAAGTTCTTTTAAATTAGAAATCTTGTTGTGAACCTTTCAATCAGTCATTAGAAATTCAAACATTTTAGTAAATTTTTGGTGTATGCAGGCATTATAGCTGGTATAAGATTGTGATGTATACTCTGTGAGCGTCATATTTCCTGTGTCACGTTTGGGATAGGCTCATTATAAATAAACTGATCTGTACACAGTAAATATTGATTATTGTGTATTTTGCAGATCTGAGGTGTTCAGTGGAGGATGTACTGCCCAGTTTAAGAGAGAACAATATCACTGTTTTAATTTTCGATGACAAGTGTACCACAGAAAGCATTGGGAATGATGAAATTCAAGTTGCATCTGACCAGCCACTGCCTTTATCCCTCCGATCACACGTTACCTTCGACAGCCCCTTTATTTATATCTATACCTCCGGAACAACAGGTATCTCTGCTTATTCTAGAACCTGCCCAGTATTACACTCTCTTATATCTTGTAAATAATACATGCTTATTAGGTATTTTGTGTCATTGAAACTTAGACAGTTTTGCTACAGCAGTGAAAAATTGACTGTGTTTGAAGTGATAAACAAGAGGATAAATAATCAAATCATTTTTAATGTCACAGTGTGATGGATCTTTAGGATTGCTTTATGTTCCAGCTGTTTGTATAGTGATGGTTTCTTCACTGAATCAGAGGATTCAAATGATGGGTCTAACGTGATTTGACTTTTTTTTTTGGGGTTTAAAGGTTTGCCCAAAGCTGCCATCATCACTCACTCTCGAGCACATCTTTTTGCTTTCTTCGTTGCAACTTGTGATGTCTACAGTAATGATGTGATTTACACCACTCTGCCTCTTTACCACAGTGCTGGTTCCATGGTTGGAATCTGTGGCTGCATTTATGCAGGTAGGTCCCCGAATCTAAATTTGCTCCTTTATGGTTTTTACCCCGTTCCATCTCGTTGAGATGGTCTCAGCTCCTTTTCTATTCTTTGCAGCGTTTAAAATGAGCTTCTTGAAACTGCAGAGGAAAAGGTGAAGCCCTTTGGTCTAAAGTACAGCATTTTGTTAATATTAAACCCAGAGGTCAGGGTTGAAGATTTCTTCTTCTCTTTGTTTGTTTACTAGCCAATGGGCCTTTGGAATGCAGAAAAAACTCAATCCTTTTGAATAATCTCATTAAAGCTGTTCCAGAGACTGTAAGAAATTCAGTACAAAGAGACAATAAAGAGCAAACTGCCTGTGTCACATCGAGAGAGAGAGAGACCCTGAGAGAGACTGCAAGAGAGATTTTTTAAAAAGGGAGGAACCAGAGAACTCTAGCCACAGAGTGACAGACAGTTCAAGACTGGAGAGAAAGAATGTGAAAAGATTTTCTTGTCTGAATTTGGAACATTCTGAGAAATGCCCATGAGATTTGCTGGGTGATTTCAGCATCAGATTGATGCAATCCTGGATATGAAAGGCTTCAAGGATTTATCCCTGGCAGCTCTCCCAGTCTCCCATCTGCTAGAATATGGGAGATGGCAGAATTCCCAAAGCGTTGCATTTTGAAACCTACCTATTAATGTTGAGCATGAATACTGTTTAAAATAATTTTCTGGTGGGTCTTGACCCTTTTTAAAAAATCATACTGTCCTTTCCTTTTATGTTTTGCTTGAAAATCTTTTCCCGTACCAAACGGGTTTGAATAAATGAGTTACACTCCTGTGGTTCACAGCACGTTGAGTTGAGACCAAGGGCAGAACCTGCTGTTTCTGGAGGTGGGAAGGCACTTAATTCAACGTGGTGTTGTACACCCATTCCCTGCTGCCTTACAAACCTCCAACAGGAGGATCAAGACGGGACAGTAGGCCTGTTCCCTGCCACCACTTGAAACCCTTAAGTGGTTGATTAAGAATCTCTTATAGGCCTGAGCCTGCATGGCTGAGGTTAACCCATCTGCAGGAGGGTCTGTGACTGTGCAGTTTGCCCAACAGTTGCTACTCTTGGGGTAACTTGTCACCTCGAGGTGGGGTGACCTAAGGCAGTCAGCGATGGAGCGACTGGACATTGGGCAGTGGGTGCCCACTGGGAGCCAACCTTCTTCCCCTCTTTCCAGCTCCCCTGCCCACCACCCCTCCTCGTACAAACCCCACTCTCATCACTCCCCACAGTCCGTGACGCTGGAACTCTGGGAGCACTCTGCTGGCAGTAACCATAGCTGCCTCCATAGTGGTCATCATGTGCCAACCTCTGATTTGGCAGCTCTCACTGGGCAGGACCTCTGCCCCTTGGGGTCTTGGCTCCAGCTGATTTTGTTACCGGACATGTTTAATCCCAGACTGAGACCCGTTTGATCACGATCATATTTTGTTTTGTTTTGGTTTTAATGAAGTCAACTCTTAATGAAATATAAGCATGCAATTTGCAGATTTTGTTTTAACAATAAAGCAGAATTTTGTTAACCAAAAGAAATTAAGATGAAATAGAATAAACCCAATGATAATGTCACACAAATTCAAAGATGTCTAAACACACAGTAAAAGTATAATTCCATTAATCCCAAAATACACAGTTACAAGTTCCAAAACAATCCTTGTACAATACAGAAAAGTACCCTTTTTACAGTATTCATGCCAGAGAAAAAATCCTAAACACCTTGAGAGGCTTAAGGTAACTATTACCTTAACTCCTGAACTGGAAATGCTGATAGCTTCTTCCTTGAGCCATCATACACGTAAACTTAAACATACCTAACTTCAAATAACCTCTTTAGGGCTTTTTCTCAACACTCTGATTTGTTACTCTAAGGAATCTAGTTTTGCTATATTCTCCCGTTTTCAGGAGCGCTGCTGTATACAACCATCCCCATTCAAAGACTTTACAGAACTGCCCAAAAACAAAGTAAAACTAAAAAAAAGCTCTCTTTCTCTCTCTCTCTCTCTCTCTCTCTGTCTCTCTGAGCTATGGATGTTTGCCTAGAAATTTCGAATAAACCTTTAAAGCACAATGTGCCAAAGTATAGTCCAACAGGTTAATTTGAATATACAAGCTTTTGGAGTCTCGATCCTGACACCTGAAAAAGGAGCGAGACTTCAAAAGCTTGGTTCTTCAAATTAACCTGTTGGACTATAACCTGGTGTCATGCAATTTTTGACCTTGACTTCCCTAGTCCAACACCGGCACCTCCATATCATTTCAGAGACCTTGCCACTGATTGGGATGAGAGAAGGTGGATCTCTCCACTGCCTCAATAAGATTCTGTTACGGAGGTGGCCAGGGGCTTACCCACTAATGAGATCGACATCTTCAATCTTTGTTCATGTCCCCGTGGTTTAACTCATTGATGGCCAGCCTCTGTTCGGTGTGGCTTGGAATCCCTGCTGAGCCCTAACTCTCTGCTCCGTCCTGCCACTCCACAGGAATGGCCAGCATCCCAGGGGAAGCAGCTTCATTACCATCTGCACCTAGGTCCTTGGAACCAGTAAAGGAATGGGGGTGATGGCAGCAAACTGCCCCAACCATAACGTGGTAGCGGTTGGCACATCAGCACATACAGGAGTCATAACATTTAATAAACAGCTGCTTTCAGTAGTGGGCAATAACTATTACTTAAATTAATTGCTCCCGTTTTATTGTGAGATAATCTGGGAATGCAGAAAAGTGGAGAATAATCATGTTTGTATTTCGTTCCTTTTCTTTGACAGGGGCAACTGTTGTCTTACGTCGTAAGTTTTCTGTAAGCCAGTTCTGGGATGACTGCAGACAGTATGATGTCACTGTTATCCAGTACATTGGGGAGATGTTACGCTACCTCTGCAATGCTCCAAAGGTAAATCTAACAGCAGATGTTGTTCATGTGACATGCCCCACACTGTCTGGTGATTGTTATCTATCTGTGTGTCTGTGTCTGGGGGAGGGGGGGAGATATTCCAACAGCAAAGAGAATCCATGTGATTGGAGCAGAAAGTCCTTCCCATCCACCAATGCTGTCATTGTGGCCCTACCTACACCAACTGATTCCTACCCAAGAAATTCCTTTCTATGAAACCCCTTTAGCATAAAGATTTGCTGGTTACTGTCATTATTTAATGTGGGAGTTTGGAACGTAGGAGAGTTTAAAAAAAGACTTTCCCCCTCCATTCTAAGTCTTCGGCGCTAAAAGAATTTAGAAATTTTCTTGCTGTTTTTGGAGGTATTTTTGTACAAAGGTATCATCATATTTTGCACAATAGTCAGAAGGCTGAAGGTCTGGCAATGAGGCAGTCTGGACTGAGGCTGATGCTGAAATGAACATTTTTGTACAGTCATACGGCATGGAAACAGACCCTTCAGTCCAACTCGTCTACACCACCAAGTTTCCCAAACTAACCCAGTCCCACTTGTCTGTGTTTGGTCCATATCCCTCTAAACCTTTGCTATTCATCTACCTGTCCAAATGTCTTTTAAATGTTGTAACTATACCTGCATGCACCATTCCCTCTGGCAGTTCATTCCACATATGATCCACCCTCTGTGTGAAAAAGAAGCTTCTCAGGTCCCTTTTAAATCTTTCTCCTCTCACCTTAAAAATATGCCCCTTAGTTTCGAACTCCCCCACCCTAGGGAAAAGACCTTTGCTGTTCACATTATCTATGCCCCTCGTGATTTTATAAACTTCTGCAAGGTTACCACTCAACCTCCTACACTCCAGTGAAAAAAGTCCCAGCCTGTCCAGCCTCTCCTTATAACTCAAACCCTCCATTCCCAGCAACATCCTGGTAAATCTTTTCTGAACCCTCTCCAATATGATAGTATCCTTCCTATAGCAGGTGGACCAGAGTACACTCTACTCCAAAAGTGGCTTCAACAACGTCCTCAAATCAACATGACGTCCTGACTCCTATACTTGGTGGTCTGAGTCAAGTGTGCAGCAATTTCATGATCAACTTTTCTGCTTTTATTTAATTGCAAGTATTGGGTACATTTGATTGATTGCTTGGGGCTTGGGGCCTGGGGCCTGTGAGGTGAAGACATGCACAAGTGAGAAATGTAGCAGAATCTGGTCTGGTTATGATCTCTGAGGAACACACTGGTTGAGAGCTGCTGGTATGTTCCTAAGGGGCTGCCAGTCTGATGGCATCACCTGGCAGTATTGTGTAGTCTCCTTTCTCCTGTTTTGAAAACTGGGCTCTGTTTGAGTGAAGCAATAGGCACAAAGTTCCACGGGGATTTCCTGGGTGCGAGGATAGCCTGCAGCACACCTGAAGGAGAATGGAATCAGCCTTTTATCAAAATTACAAAATGATGAATTTAAGTTGGTCCTTGATGAAGCTGTGAGTGCCAGATGTTGCTGCTTCCACACCCCCTCAGACACATGTGTGGAATATAGGCAATTGATGTTGGCGCAGCCAGAGATGTCCACACCCTGCTAAAGAATATTTTAAAAAAGGATTTAAAAACCTCGATCGATTTTCCTGGTACCTGCGGCAGCGACACCGAGAACAGGCAGTTGAGGTCCCTGGAGAGTGAGCTAAGCAGAGGACTTATCACAGACTGTTGAACTTTAAATCTTATTCCTTTATTTTTCTACTTTTGTATTAAGAAGGATTTTAGTATTAACTATTACCTTATTTCTTTTGTTTTCTACTTATTCTATGAAGAAAATGTTTAACTTTTTAACTGTGTTCTCTGACTACTTTGTACCTTGGTTTTTTTGTACCTAGGTACCTTTGTATCTAAGATGACACCGTGTGTGGTAACATTATACACTTTTCACTGTACTCCTGTACTTCTGCACTTGAGTACACGTGACAGTAAAATCTAAATGTAAATGGAAAGCAAGTTTTCTGGAAGCTGTCAGGTTCTGGTAAAGGCCATTTGGCTGGAATTGTACTGGCTATAGCACAGCCGGCCAGGCTGAATGGACCAACTCAGAAAATGCTCCTGAAGCTGTTGTAGCCTCTCTGAGGTTGTTCTTTCAATTCATTAGAGCAAAAGCTCCTCACCCACAGAAATGAAGTAAAACCTGTCTATCAGGACTGCTTCTGACTTAAAGCTAAACTTGAAAATGTTCCCGTAACATTACTCCTGTCATTCTCACTGCTGAAGCTCATGGCAATAGAAAGAGGAACTTGCAAAATGTCCCAGCTTTCACAATCGTACAATGTGACAATATGTTTGATGCCTAATGAGGGTCCATTACTATGGCGATATGGCACAAACAGTTTCCTGTTTTCACTGAATGGTGCTGGATTCTTGCTGAACCAGTTATAGTTGGCTAGCTTTTGCAATTCCACATTCAAATACAAAGCCTAGTTTCTCTTGCAGAATTAAAATATACATTCTTCTTTTGTTCCAATGATTGCATTTTGCTTGTAGAAAAGCAATGAAAGAGATCACAAGGTGAGGCTGGCTTTGGGGAATGGTGCACGGCCAGATGTCTGGAAGGAGTTTTTAAATCGATTTGGAAACATCCAAGTTTGTGAGTTTTATGGTGCCACTGAAGGAAATGTTGGCTTCTTTAATAATGTGGGCAAAATCGGTTCATCAGGGCGGATCAGCGTTTTTACCAGGGTAAGAAAGCAAGTTTTGTTTTTAATCCTAATGTGTGGTTGACAATTGTGCAGAGATTAGAAACAATTAATGGTTAAAATTAGCATTTCCTGTGACTCAGTCCTTGTTGCATCAGCTATAGTTAAGTTATTGAAATGCCAAGTGCTTCTGTCACTCTCTGCTAGACCTCATTTGATCTAAACTCCTCTTCAGTTATGGACTCAGAGGATCAAATGGCCTCCTTCTGTGCAGAATGACTTTGAGAGTTCTCAGTCTTATCACTACAATCTTCTTCCTTCCTCACTTTGCATCCATTCTTCTGTTACTCATGCAGATCTCATCAGCACAACTTGGACATGGTGCCGTGTTGCCAGTGCTCCTGTGGTAGGAGAGCTACAGGAGGGGATGGTGCATAGTAAAGCTCCTTCCATTCTCATCCACCAAATCTGCTTGGGTCAGGTCCCACATTGATTGATTGGATCTAGAACAGAATGTGCTGTAAAGTGCCCACTCTTTGGCCCAGAAATGTGATTGCGTTATCCCCATTTTACAAGCTTTAAACAGACATTAACATCCAGTTTGTCTGACAATGCAAGCTTTTCCTTCTGTCTAACACTATAAATTGTTGCTCCCCTTGAAATTTGGCATTCTTGACTACAAGGCAAAAAGCCTTGACATCTTGCCTCTTTTTTTCACGCTGTGATTAAGTCACTCAGAAACTCTGTGACACAGATCAAGGGCCTAGGAGCAGTGTTCTTTATCACAGCTGCACTCTGATTCATTTAAATCTATTCCAATTGTGAATTTCATGTGGTGCCCAGGGCCACATGAACAAGCACATGCTATACACCCACCTCCACCTCTCCCTCTCTCAACAAGTCCTGCACAAATCATGCTTTTTTGCCCCCCCCGACTTGTGTATTTGCCAAATCAAATTGCTCAGTCATTGCATGGACCTTGATTTCCGACTGATCAGCTACTTCACCCATGTGATATTTCCATTTGTCGCTGTTAACGTTTGTATTTCTCAGTGACGCAGCCTCACATTGAGCTGTGGCGTAGTTTTATACTGTGGACTTGCACCTTTCAAAGGCCCGGTCTTGGTGATCAGAGCTGAGTAAGTCAATATTGTACAGCCATGATAATTGGATCAGGCAGATTTGAGTTCTCCTGAAATCCCAGTTGGAATTTAGCAGTTATTTATTTATCTTTTTGGATTAAGATTTTTATTTGTGATGGAAAAGATTATGCCTTGTGCCCAGTGTTGGTGTTAAATTATATTCTGCTGAAACTAAGCAGAACTATTTTGGGAATTGCCTGTGTTCACAAACAGAAACAGGTTGCAAAACAGAATGTTGATTGGAGGTACACCATATGTAGTGGGTGTCGTTAAATAAAAACTTATAGGTATCTGAAGACTAGACTGAAGTTTCCGGTTGATTCCTGGGGGTGAAGGGGTTTACCTGATGAGGGAAGATTGCGGAGGTTAGGTCTACACTTATTAGAGTTTACAACAATGGGAAGTGACCATATTGAAGCATATGGTGCGGGGGTCTAGGGTTGGGGGAGGTGGGGGCTTCACCAGGCAGATACTGAGGGAATCTTTCTCCTCATGGGGAAATCTAAAAGGACAGTTTGGAAATGAGTCTTCCAGTCAAGACTGAGGTAAAGCGGAATCTTTTCTGAGGGCCATTAAACTTTGGAATCCTCTTTCCCCCAGGGCAGTGCAGACTGGGTCATTGAATTTATTCAAGGCTGAACTCAACAGATTTTTGATAGACAATAGAGTTAATCAGTGGGGTGGGCCGTGGGGTCGGGGTGGGGGGAGCTCGGCACTTGATGGGAAAATGGAGTTAAGGCCACAACCTGATCATCCATGATCTTAGTAAATGGTGGAGTAGGCATGATGGGATGGAATGGCTACCTCCTGCTCCCAGCTCTTCAAGTTCTTACGGTGGCTCACCACCTGGGGATGGGCAGCAAATTCTGACTTTGCCATGAGCAATATTTTAAACAAAGCTGGCTATCTTGAGTTGTGACCACAACAAACCTCCCAGCTGATTGATAGCATGGACCATTGCCTGGGAATATTGGCTTCCTGAAAAAGGTTATCCCTTTTTAAAAGCCATACCAAATTCATCTGAATTATCAACAATTTTATTCTTATGATCTTTCATACAAACACATTCTTCAAAATCATGTTTTGATTCTTTCTGTTGGAGTTCTAATTATATTTTCCAGCAGTAATAACAGTCCTTATGATTGGACGATGAATTAGATTGATTTTTGTCGTTACAATATATTGTGTTTGATTCAATGATAGATTCCAGTTAAATAGTTCACTGATATTCTACAGACCTGAAAGCCTGACCTTTGTCCTAAACAGTCCTGATTTTATGGAATAAGCTCTCCAAGATTCTTCTCCAGTTTGTATGTGTCTGTGGGATGGAAGGGGAACTGGGCATACAGGGGTGGAGTGTGGTCTGATGGGAGTATGAATGAGCCAGTAGGTGAATGTGGGCCACTGTTTTGGGTTGTGTAATCCTTTGTGTGAGGGAAACATTAATTTGTTTTGTGAAACCACCAATTGGGATTCAATAGTTGAAATGTTGTAAGTTAATGAAGGGGATCATTTCTGTTGTAAACTATTCACTGCTTTGGAGGTTACCAAAATGTAAGAAATCTGTTGCGTTTCAGGGGCAGCTCCAGGCTCATTTTCCCCCTCCTTCTGCCAAGCTAATCAGGAGTTAAAAGACACAGTTACACTTTGTCAGAAATAATGAAGAATAATGACTCCAACTTTCTCCACTGGATCATTTTCCACACTAGCCATCATAATGGACTCTGGCACAGAGATTGCTCCCTTTATATTAGTTAAGAATGCTGGGTGGTCATTGTCACTAGGAACTGAGTGTAAGCTGTCCAGCTTCTGACTGAAGATCATTGACCTGAAACATTAACTTTCCTTCTCTATCCACGGTTGCTGCCTGATTTGATGAGTATTTCCAACATTTCTGCTTTTATTTAATATCTCCAGCATGTGGAATACTTGTTCTTGGAGCCACCACCCATCACTGGGGAAAAAAAAAAGAGATCTGCTGGAAACTGGGTCAAGACCTTCTGCATTCCACTCCCACTGACCATTTAGAAAAGAAATCTGCCCAACTCCACTGCTTTAAGGGGCTGATCTATTGTGTCTTTGGTTCCTCATTTTTAAGAATTTATCTCTTTAGTTGCTCCATCCTGTATTCAAATACTGTAACATGAACGTAATCCTCTGGTTTTAACACTAAGCTAATCCACTGGGTTTTTCTCCTCAGATGTTCATGCCGTTTCACCTGGTTAAATATGATGTTGACCGGGAAGCACTTGTACGAGATGCCAATGGTCATTGCATTGAGGTTGCTAAAGGTAATGGTTTGCATTGAGGTTGCTAAAGGTAATGGTTTGTTCATGAGAGATTCCTCAATAATGTTCCTCCCTCCTCACAGAGATTAATGTTTGATTGATAAGAATCTGTCTCTGTCTGGTAACACTGAACAAACACTAACAAAATTCTTCTGGTGAGATCTTGTTCAGTTGGGATTTAACAACTGTATGAGATTCAAATCATTGACGTTCAGTAGCAGCAGGTATGTCCCATCTACAAGGTGCACTGCATGCATTCACCAAAACTGCTTCGATGGGCTAAAACTTAAACCTCTGCCACCTACAAGGACTCAGGCAGCAGATACATGGGAACACCACAACCTGCAGGTTCCTCTTCAAGCCACTCACCATCCTGACTTCTGAATTATCCCAACGTTCTTTTAATGTTACTGGGTTAAAATCTTGGAACTCCCTCACCACTGGGTCTACCTGTAGCATGTGGACTGTGGCGGTTCCAGAAGTCACCTCATCGCCACCTTCTTCAGGGGCTAGAAATGCTGGCCCAGCCAGCAATGCCCACATCCAATTAACTTTTTTTTAGATATTGAGAAACTGAGAACCTGGAGAATGAGGAGGAGTCAGTCTGATGCACTGAAAGTGAGCAATAATATTTCCTAACAACTTAGATGGCTTTTAATAAATACTGCAAAGGGTACCCTGAATACCATCATGACTCCTAAACAAGGTCCTTAATTGCCAAACATTGTGACTGCTTTTCCCCAAGATAGACAGAAGACACAAAGTGTGATCAGATGTTGGTAACATTGAATTACATTGTTTCTTTTGAACAATCCTGTTTGTAAATGGGATCCCTCCTTAACAAATTTTCTACAAGATTCCATGTTGCTTTTGCCAGATCATCTGTGGAATTGCTTTATAACAATACACTTTGTAATTAGAAATAAATTAAACATGAAATGCTGGTCATTTCACATGAAGGCTTTCAATGTCTGTGAAAACAAAAGACAAGCTTTGGCAGCAGATTCCTCTCCCTCTGACCCGATCCAATCTGAACTGATGAATGTGACTCTCTCAGAACTCTCCCTTTCCAGCGGCTTGCATTTCCAACTTAGATTTTTTTTGTGATTTTAGTTTTACATCATTTCCTGTTTTGAAAATGTCTACAAGTGTCTGTGTTGTGCTAGAGATTTTGAATTAAATTGAATGATTGTAAAGTTATGATATTAATGACTTGTGGAACACTGCAGAGTTTTCTGACATTTTAGTGTCCTAGCAGGAGAGCCTGGACTTCTTATTGCGAAAATTACACCCAAAACCCCATTCCTTGGGTATGCAGGGAATAGTGTCCTAACCAATCAGAAGCAGCTGAGAGACGTGTTCTGCAAAGGAGACCTATATTTCAACAGTGGAGACCTCATGATGCTCGACCATGACAATTTCATCTACTTCAAAGACAGAATTGGAGATGCATTCAGGTCAGAGGCACGTGGGGCTTTGACCCAAACTGATGCTTTCCATTTCTGTATTTTTATAACTTCCATAGATAACTGCTTCCATTGTTCATCAATGGAATCGTAATTCTTTTGAAAATTTCCTTTGAAGGTGAAAATCAGTATATATTCCAAATCCCTAACAATAAAAGTAGGTCTCATGTGTGAACAGCTTGGAAACCAGAACTTTAACCCCACTACACTGACGTCATATGATTATTCAAGTTGTTACATATAGAGTAAAACCTGTGTGTACAAGGATCCGTTTCTGATGATGAATGTTTCATTTGCACAGATTTTGTCCTTTAATACCTAGATAAAAATGGAAGGATTTTCGATCATTTGCTAGGTAACTTGGTGTTATCTCAGATAATATATGGTGCCTCCCTATACTGTTTCCCCACTGGGAATGTGAGATTATATGTTCAGTAATCAGATTCCCCATTTGGAGAAACAATCTCTGACCCTGATCCCTACCAGTTTGTGGATGTGTGTTGCTTTGTAAAGCTTTTGAAATTCATATGAAAATGTAAAGAGAGAAAAACAGTAACTAAATACCTATTTAATTAAAAAAATTGGAAATGCCAGATTTCTCACTCAAATGATGCAAGGATCAGATTGGGAAGGATTGTCGAAGGATGTTTATTTGTGCATTTGAGCGCACTAACAATTTGAGGCAGAGCTGAACGAGTCTGTGAATCTGAGTATTTTAATTCACTTGTATGTGTTTTCAGTAACTTCTTTTTATGTTTAGATGGAAAGGGGAGAATGTATCCACTACTGAGGTGGCTGATATTCTGTCGGTGCTGGATTTTGTTCAGGAAGTCTGTGTATATGGAGTAACTGTTCCAGGTATGAGACGTGTTTGTGTAATGGACATCTCAAATCGTCTACTGCATGAACAAACTAACCCTTCACCACTCTGTGTCCTTGCAAACATCACAGCTCCAAGCTCCCTTTCCCCACCAGCTCCTAGACATCCCACCTCCTCCCAAATCCATTCCCACCTTTCCCAGAACTCCCATGTTTGAATCAGTTCAATCAGGTTTCTGCTACTGCCATTTTACTGAATATCCTCCCATGATAGTGGTGAACTTTCCCTTCTTACCCTTTTCAACCTTTCCGTAGCTTTCCCCACAGGCACCACTCTGTCCTTCTCCAACCCCTTTCCATTCTCATCTGTTTGTGTTCTCATGTGGTCACCACCATTGTGGTCATTTTGTGACTTCTCTTCTGCTGCAACACTGTGTTCCTTCAACTAGATATATTCCTGGTCCCCCTCCTGTTTCCTGTCTCCAGTCTACATCCTGTCCTTTGACAAATTATCTAAAAACAAACTATCCATCTTCCTAAATCCGCTAACAACCCTCTCCCACTACTCCGAAACCACCTCCCCAGCCACTGTTTCTGGCTGAATGAGATGAGGGTGTCACTGGCTAGACAGCATTTATTGTTCATCCCTAATTGGTTAAGAATCAGTCACAGTGCTGAGAGTCTGGAGTTACATGTTACATGCTACATAGTAACTTCCTTCCCTAAAGGACATTGGAGGGTTTTTCCTGACAATTCACACTGGAATCATGGATATCATGAGACTTTTAATTCCAGCTGTTTATTGAATTAATACTATTGATCTGAACCCAGATCTCTGGATTAATATTCCAATGATAATGTCACTAGGCTGTCACCTTCCCTGAACACATGACCTCCTAGGAGAGGTCACAACCTCTAACATCACCTGATTACAGCTCCCTGCTTCGGCTAATCAGCTGCTGAAACCCTCACGCATTCAGATTTGACTAATCCTGTGCTGTCCTGACCAAGTCAGAAATCACATGATACCAGGTTATAGTACAACAGGTTTATGTGAAAACACAAGCTTTTGGAGTCTTACTCCTTCTAAAGGTGTTAGTAAGAGAGGTAATATCAGACACAGAATCATATGCAAAAGATCAAAGGATCACATCACTGATGAGGATGTACTAAACAAGCCTAAGATGCTGTTAAATCTTTAATAAGTTAGAAGCTTTTAATTAATTGATATGTATTTGTAAATCCCCATATTCCTTTGAAGTTACTGTCCTGAGAGAACTAAAGGTTTTATCAGTGCAAAGAAGAAGTGACATTTTAGGTCAGACAATGCATGTTAGGTGTGAGGCCTTGTTTAGAATCTGTTTGTGTTTTGGTTTGGAGTCAGACTGGTTTTATTTCTAAAGTAGTAATTCATAAAACACCACATTGACTGACTGACTGTCTATAAATTATATGCTTCTTTTTAAAAAAAAATTGTATCTGCAAGTACAAATTCACCCCATAGATTCATGTGTGAGTGTGTGTGTGGGCAGAGAGAG